ACAGGCCACTCCTATTATCAGTCGAGACCATTCCAGACTGTCTACTGATCTGGCCATTGACCAATAAAATAAGCGTTTTTGGCGTTCATAGACTCCTTTATCCGTCGAACCAGTCAAGCCACCCCGCTTATCAGTCGGTTATTCCAGGTCAATTAATATTCAACTGATCTGATTACAACGAGATATTCATTGCATTAGTCATTAGTTTTCAATAATAAATAAAGCTGGATTTTTATCACGAAGTAAATGCGATAGTAAAGTAAGAATAATTAAGGAATTTTTAATTAATATGAATAGGTAATTTTTGAATTTCAAACATCAGTCGCGCGACGGATTTGACATACTCTAGATCCGCCCCTGGGTGTTATTGTTGTTGTATTACATAGATGTATGAAAAAGCATGTCATATCATGATGACGAGTAGAATTAAAATCTATAACTTCAATTTAAGGTATGTCTGTTATGTTTATTAAACTTATGTTAATTTAATAGGATTTACGTTATTAGTTATGTTAATTGTTATAAAGCTAAATATATAAAAGGAGTTAACTTGTACTATCTAGGCAGTGGTAAAATACACATAAATGAAATATAAAACACTACAGTTGGCGACAAAGATGGGATTCTGATGGACGAAGAAGCCCAAAGTACACAGACAAATGTTGGTTTTAATGTGCCCTTTATGGGACATATGGAAGAATATTCAACGAGTACAGATTGGAAGCAGTACGTTGAGCGGCTTGAAATATTCTTCGAAGTAAATAATGTACCAATAGAAAAGCAAGCCTCGAGCATACTTACCTTTATGGGTAGTAAGATGTATGCGTTGTTAAGATCAATTACAGCACCAAGAAGACCAAAAGAACTTACATATAACCAAATTGTAGAAACTTTAACACAACCTCTTGAGCCAAAACCAATAGTTATTGCTGAACGATATAAGTTCCACAAGGCTGAGCAAGGACAAGCGGAATCGATTAGGGAATATCTTGCCAAATTGCAGAGATTAGCAGAAACATGTGAATTTGGGAGTTATCGAGACGAAGCAATTCGAGATCGATTTGTTTGTGGATTGCAAGATCGATCGATTCAACGTAAGCTACTAGGCGAAGTTGATTTGACTTTAAAGTCTGCGGTAGAAAAAGCTTGTGCGGCTGAATTAACGAAGAGAGAAACATCAGCGTTACACGGAGAATTACTGAACCGAGTGCAAACAGCATCCCTCGAGTGTTTTCGCTGTGGTAAGAAAAATCATTCTCCCGATAAGTGTTATTTTCGGAAGTCCAAATGTCACGGTTGTCAAAATTATGGAGATATAGTAAAGAAGTGTCCCAGGAGAGATGGCAACAACATGAAGAATACAAAAAGTGAAAAGTCGAGAAGGGAAGATGCTAAGAAAAGAAAAAAAAAAATCCAGCGAAATTCACAACTTTAAAACACATAGCAACGTTGACAGTGACAGCGAAAGCCAAGAAGAAGATATGAAAACATGGCCGGTGTTTACATTAACTGATTCGAGAAAGAAATGTAAAGAGATGGAAGTATTAGTCCTAATGGATGGAAAGTCAGTAAAGATGGAAGTGGACACGGGAGCTGCGGTATCAATTATGCCAGAAAATGTGTGGAGAAATGTATTGTCTGCAAAATGCATACGCAAGTCCAACGTTAGACTGCAAAGTTATTCTGGGCATGAAGTTCCAGTGATGGGAGAAGTAGACGTTTGCGTGGAACATGGAAAACAAAAAGCTAAGTTACCAATTGTAATAACTCAAAATAAAGGTCCTGTGTTGTTGGGACGAAATTGGCTGGCAATTTTAAAGCTTAACTGGAGTCAAATAAAACAAGTAGTGGCAAAACCTGTCAAAAATGTGGAGCAATTAATAATTCAATATGCGTCCTTATTTGACAATTCGTTGGGGACAGTAAAAGGAGTTAAGGCACATATATACATGAAACGAAACTCAAATCCAAAGTTTTTAAACCTAGATCAGTCCCGTTTGCGCTGAAAGACAAGGTAAAGGAAGAAATCTACCGTTTAGAGAAACTTGGGGTCCTGGAAAAGGTAGAGTTTTCAGATTGGGCGACGCCAATCGTGCCAGTGTTGAAACCTGATGGTAGTGTACGGATTTGTGGCGATTATAAAGTGACCATTAACCAAAGTCTAGACGCTCAAGAATATCCAATGCCGACAGCTGAAGAACTGTTTACAAAGCTACGAGGAGGCGAGAAATTTTCAAAGATAGATCTGTCGGCAGCATATCAGCAAGTCGTTTTGGACGAAGAATCACAACGTTATGTTACAATTAACACACATTTGGGTTTGTATAGGTATACAAGACTGCCATTTGGAGTTGCAGCTAGCCCAGCTATTTTTCAAAGAACGATGGATATGGTTTTGAATGGTTTACAGGGAGTAGATGGTATACTTGATGATTTGATAATTACGGGTAAAAATGATGAAGAACATTTGCGGAATCTTGAGAGAGCACTGAAACGTCTTCAAAATATGGGAATAAATTGAAGAAATCAAAGTGCGTTTTTATGCAACCTTCAGTGGAATATTCCGCATTTGTCGTGGATCGACAAGGAATCCATCCATCGCCTCGTAAAGTTCAAGCTATAAGGGAGATACCAACTCCTGAAAATCCAACAGAATTGAAGTCATTTCTGGGGCTAGTGAACTATTATCGTAAGTTTATTCCAAATATGGCAAAGTTGGTTAATCCTCTGAATTGTTTACTGTCACAAGAAGTTACTTGGAAATGGTCGGAAGAATGTCAGAAATGCTTTGAGACTTTAAAAGTCCTATTGGAAACGGCACCAGTATTAACACATTACGACCCCAAGAAACACGTGAGATTAGCGACAGATGCCTCATCGTGTGGAATAGGTGCTGTTCTATCAAATGTATCGTACGAAGGAGAAGAACAACCAATAGCTTATGCCTCGACAACACTTTCTTCTAGTGAGCAAAACTATTCTATGATCGAGAAAGAGGCCCTTGCAATTATTTTTGGATTGAAGAAGTTTCATCAGTATGTGTATGGAAGACGTTTTTCTTTAATCACAGATCATAAGCCGCTTACTATGATACTGGGACCTAAACGGGGTGTTCCTGTCTTGGCAGTCTCCCGCTTGCAGAGATGGGCGATTCAACTGGGTGCATATCAGTATGATATTGAATACCGAACTTCAAAGAACAATGCGAATGTTGATGCGCTGTCCCGGTTACCTAGGAAAAGTGTTGAAGAACCGGACGAATGGGAGGAAGAGGCAGCGGCAGTAAACAGCGTTCAACTGAAGCGGTCACCTGTTTCAGTAAGTATGATTAGAGAAGCTACGCAAAAAGATTCAATATTGTCTCGTGTAGTATACTATCTGTTACATGGTTGGCCAGAAGGAAAGTTACCAGAGGAACTACAATATTTCTTTACAAAGCAAGACGAGTTTACTGTAGAAGAAGTATGCCTATTGAGAGGAACCCGAGTGGTAATTCCAACCAAATATCAAGGAGTGGTGTTGTCGGAGTTGCATATAAATCATCCAGGAATGGTGCGGATGAAATCTTTAGCACGTTTACATGTGTGGTGGTCAACATTAGACCAAAACATTGAACAGACTGTGAGAGATTGCACCAGTTGTCAATTTAATCGCTGTAAATCTCCACTTAAAGTAAATAATCCATGGATTTGGCCTGTACGTCCATGGCAAAGAAATCATGTCGACTTTGCAGGTCCAGTCGAGGGTGGCATGTATTTAATAGTGGTAGATGCTAAGTCTAAATGGATGGAGGTTATATCTATGTCAACAACCACCGCTGCGGCAACAATACAAGCATTAAGATCTTTATTTTCAGTTCATGGTCGACCGGAAGAGATGGTGTCGGACAATGGTCCACAATTTGTTGCGCAGGAAATGAAAGATTTTCTAAAAGGCAATGGAATTCAAATGCACTTATCTTCACCGTACCACCCTGCTTCAAATGGGGAAGCGGAAAGAGCAGTGAGAACATTTAAAGACTCCATGAAGATTCGTAAGAATGAAGAAGGATCTACTGGAGAGAAATTAGCAAAATTTTTGTTAGGATATCGTACCACGTATGGTAAAAGATTATAGAGCAAGAAGAGATCGTTGGATACAGGGAGTAATTCAAATGAAGTTAAGCCCAGTTACGTATCGAGTGTTAGTGGACGATGTATTGTGGAAACGACATATTGATCAATTGCGAAGTCTGGCGGGATCAACAGTTCCAGATGGTAAGACTCTAATCCATGATGCTGAGAAATATCCCTCCAATTTGGAGAAAAAAAAATTTTGGTGCTCGATGAAAATACAGTGTCTAAACATATCAACCAAGAGATATTCAAAGAACCAACTGTAAGTACCACCATGACCTTGAAAACCACGCCTCTACCACAGGTACAGACCTTACCTGACAAGATAACCAAAGAGCCCGGTAGTTGTAATGACAGTGAACAGGTATCAAACAATTGCCGGTATCCTCTGCGTAATCGCACGAAACCAAAAACGTTTAATTGATGAAATATAGTTTCTTTTGATAGATCGTAATCAATCCCGAACTTTTAGGAAAATAACACTACAAGTTAGCTAAAGAACTATTAGAATTGTGCCGGAGGGAATGTTATGTTTATTAATTTATGTTAATTTAATAGGATTTACGTTATTAGTTATGTTAATTGTTATAAAGCTAAATATATAAAAGGAGTTAACTTGTACTATCTAGGCAGTGGTAAGATACACATAAATGAAATATAAAACACTACAATGTCTTGCTCAATTTTTTAACTCCAACTCTTCATCAGCTACGTCACTACGTAGATGCATGATAATTTTAAAGTGCATATCTCACAATTTTTTTTAAAGCGCTTTCATATTGGTTCTTTAAAAGTAATCTGAAAATTATATTACAATTTTTCATGCGCTGCGTTGTTTTCGAATTATTATTGAACAAATATGAAATTTGACAATAAAAGTTGATGATTGGCATAGGGCCTGGATCAAGTCTCTGTGACGTAACATAAGGAACAAGTCAAGCGCTTGTTATCAACAATTAGATGGCGGAGTTGAATTCTGATTCGGAAAGCTCTCATAGTTTGCAATGTGATTCGGAGTATGATTATATTCCCGGTTATGTCATCGAAGATGAAACAAGGAACATTAATGACCAGGTATATAATACAATAGATGAAAATCACGGAGAGTCCGAGTCCGATCTTTACGCTGATGAACCAATGGCCGAACAAGCATGGTACGAAGACTACGTTGAAGTGTCAAATGAACATAAAAAGCAACTTGAATTGCTACAAGAAAGACTTGATCACACAGTTGAGTTGATGTCTTGGTGAGTAAAAAAATTTGTAATTTTAATTCAACTTATGAAATGAATTTCAATTCTGAGTTCAAGTTATGAAATATATACATAAGCGTTCAAGATTCTAGGCATGCACCTATTCAAGATTGCCCTCGCTTTTTTAGTTGATTTTGAGGAAAAAATTGTTAAAAGATGCTCGATTACAATTTTTTAATGTGATTTTCTTTATTGATCAGGTGCAAGTGTGGTTTGTGTCAAGTTTCACTTCTCCAGAATCTTCTATAGGCCTGGTGCTGCCAAGAACTTAAGTCTGTAGCTGAAATCTTAACACAACAGTCAGTTCTGGCAGATCTGCCAGCTGTTGCATGTTGTGTCACTCTACACCCAGATTTCAGACCAGTTTGTTTGGAAAAGTGGTTGCTAAAAATAGATGCTAAGAAATACAAAAACAGAGAACAAAGACGATACAGCGAAACAGGATCTGAAAACATGTATGATAGCATATTATGTTATTTCGCAGTATTTAAGTATAATTTATTGTAACAATTAGGCTTTATATTCAGGTTTTTACGATGTGTTGCGTACAGAAAATTCATATCTATGATTTATGGATGCTTAGGAGAAGAAAGAAGACCATTACCAGCATCTGCATACCATGCAATAAGATCAAAACTTAATGATAAAAAGTCGGAATTTAGAGGTACGAAGAAAATGAAATAAATGAGTGATGTGAAAATTAAGTTTTCCTATTTTTCGGGCAATCTGGCACATGTTTATGACCTTTTATTTGCTTTTTCCAAATAAAACATTTCGGCTGACTTTTTCTTTTGAAACTGCCACTTTTGACTTTGACTTTCGGCTGAATGGCACACTGCTAGCTGCTGGCTTCATTGACTACAATGCCTTTTCGACGGACCTGTTTTAGTAACACCTTAGCTCTGGGTTCATTTTGCAGAATGACATCCAATGGTGGCGGGGACATTACTTTCAAAGATTTTGTGAATTTGATAATGCCCACCTGCAATACATTCCAACATACGAATAATGAATATTTTTTGTAGCAAAATGTTTCAGGACAGAATGGAATCCTTCCAAACAACTTGTTTGAGCAACTGGTGAAGCCTGGTGAATTGACTTCATCAGTTGTGGGTTTAACAATTTAGCACAAAGCTTTTCATGAGCAACTGCACCTTAAACATTACAACAAAGAATGATGATAAACTGTTAGGAAAGTTATCTTTAAATAATGCCTTCACAAACCTTCAAACAAATATTCCGTTTGTTTAATATCAGGTCCATGAAAACAACTTAAAAACAGTGGATTATCCAAATTGGTGTGCTTGTCTACTATGTGCCTCAGGAAAGATTTGAACTTTGCCCAAATTACTTTGCCATCACCATCAAAAGTAAAACAAACAAACAGCCGAATACTTAGTCGGTGTCCACTAAGCACGTTTTCTTGCAACAAAGTCAACCAGATTTTATGTCTTTGCTTCGCATCAGGACGCTCATCACCGAAAAATGGTATACGATAAAGACAAACTCCTTCCGCAGAATTTGCTTGGTTTGAACAGCCGAAAACTGCACATCTATCAGGCATTTTAATGCAGAGCCATGGTAGATTAAGTAGAAATTATAGCATTAATCACACTTCACAAAACTTCCTGTCCTTATGTTACGTCACATACTTCTCGATTCAAGCTCTCATCAAGGAAATTGAACGCGCAGCAATTTTTCTCCATTATGGCCCATTTTGAGAAAAGAAACGGATTTATCTCATAAACGAAGCCATCAATCAGAAAATTGTAAAATTATATTATTTAGTTAACACGTAAATAAGAACTTACCCAAATAAACAAATAATTTCTTGTGCTGATACACGCAACGACCAAGTGTGTTTTACTTTGTTTCCAGCAGTGAATACATTTTTCCTGATCTGACACTAGTTCTCTATAAAACTTATAAGTGGTTAAGCATCTTTGCTCCCATATAAAGAAAAAGAAGCATAACCAGTTTATGTGTATGTTGTTTCAGTTACAGTTCTGACGTTAGGGTTACTAAATTCTGGCAGTCAGTACCTCTCTAACATTGCATATTACTTTACATTTGGCAAAGCTGGCTTAATTTCTGTTTTTTTACGTAGATTCTTTTCTACTTAGCGAAATATATAAAGTATAAGATTCCCTTTAAGAAGAGGCGTAACTTGAACGTTAATTGGGGGTGCATATTCTTATATTCCAATGTGCCCTACTGATTTATTTCAAAAGGGAATTGAATTTTAAAAGAAATCAGTATGGATCAACTGAATATATGTTTATACACCCTCCCCACTTTAGATAACGTTCTAGTTACACCTCTGCCTTTAAGATTCCAAAACGATGTCTTTTGATATTGTTAAGATGTTGTAACGTTCTATATTTGCCTTGAAAATAGACAAACAAGTAGTCCTTATTTTTTTATGGGCTGTGTTATTTTCGGTTATATTTGTAGAACGAGACATTCCTTTGTTGGATAAATGATATCAAACAGCCCATGCACATCTTCACAGTCTTTGTAATTCTAAATATTTATATTGTTCGAAGATTAGATTCATTTTCAAACTCCCACTCACTCCAGTGAGTAAGACACTGTAGTAATCACTGCATTTGAGTTTCTATGTGAAATCAGGTGTAAAACTCAACATTCTGTAACAAAGACTCAACTGTAATTTCGAATCATGACTAGGCAGTGTTATTTAAGCATTACATTTCCAAGTCATTTCTTAATGTTGTTGTTTTTCAATTTTAAAACACTATATAGTAAAATTGACAATAAATGACACCTGGGATGCTAGGTTTAATTTTCCTAATATTCCTTCAACCTCCGGTTTGCAGACATTATTTAATGCTATTAGGTTTTTGGAATGCTTTGCAAAAATAGTGGCTTTTATAAAATAGGGAGATTGCCATGGATGATCAGTTTTTCATTGGGTTGATTCTAAATACAGGTTGCTGACAAACCAGGTTGCTGCACAATAATTCTTACTTAGTCAAATGGTTCTAAGAAATAGAAAAAGGAAACAGCAAATATTTTGCAAGGGGCTTATATCTTGTTCCGAAAACATTTTATTGTTTAAACGACCATAGCACTATAGCACACCAAGTTTAGTGTAGTAAATTTGTAGTATGTAGTATGATTAGAATATGTTTAGTTGTTGGATAAAATTATCAATACGAAGAGTTAAGAGACTCTACAGAGAACAGACAGGAGTAAAGGCCTGTTCTTTAAAGAACTAAGGAGTTTTCTCGCTGTAAAGTCCATAATGACACTTTATGCAAACATGAATAATTAATTACATCATGAAAGCTATAGAGTCAAATCTTAGAGCATGTGCACCTTACCTTCTTTATGTTAAAATATTTTTTATTAACTCGCTAGCATTATTAAAGATGCAAAAATTAAACAATATGTAAAAACTCAAGAGATATAAATCTTGGGGACGAAATATTTCAGTGCATAATTTTGATCCTAAAATCATAAACAACAGGGATGACAACATTGACGTGTGATGCAATTTATTTTACCAACTTTCCCATTTATGCACTAGGTTGCACTTTATGTTTTATATGCGTGAAATGTGTAAAGGTTTTTGATGCTGATTTGAAAACTGAACGAGAAGTCTATTTTAAGTCATAAGTTAATTTTAATTCTTTCTTGTTATGAGTCAGAAACGAAACGGCCATGGGCCAACTTCGAAAATTGTGCTTTTCTCATGCGTCCATCGAAGAACCAAAAATTATTTAACCATCTGGTCGCTCTAGTAGTATTTAGCAACTTGAGGATGTATGTCAATTGTTTAACTTGCGCACAAAAGAGGAAAATCGATTATTTTATCTTGAATATATGATCAGATCAGAAAAAGGTGAAATGAATGTTATGTTTTTACGTCTTCAACGTAAAGAGAGTCTTTTTCTCAATCAATTACATAGTGCAAGGGTGAAAAGTCTTTCATTACACGTGATAAACAATGGTGAACAACAAAGCTTGCTGAAGTTGCTCACTCGGATGAAAAGTTTTTTTGCGTTATGCATATCAAAAATAGTGCTAGCTAAAAATTAATATCATTTGACGTTGGCTCCTTGGTCTATATTTACTTTTCATACTTCTAAATGGAAAAACTTCCATACATAATATAGCGAAATGACATTGGAATCCGTGTTAAATTCTGGGGATAATTTACGACCTTTACGTTGACAATTTGTCTTTCTCTGAAAATATTTCTTCTTCAGAGTTCTTGTTTTGTACTCATACCGGTGCTCTGCAAATTCCATTACGATTGTTGAATCGATTTTGCAATGTCCAAATGCTGAGAAGAGAACAAAACAGGCAAATAGGCAAAAGAGTGAGAAATACAAGTCGATCGACATATTTTAATTTTTACTTTTACTGACTTGTAATTCAGTATACGTGAGATTTTTTTGAAACCATGCAGATGAATTTCAAAGCTACATTTCCTTTCAATTTGAGTTTATTCCTCGAAATTTACTTCAAATACTACGCAGAAAAGAGTGATTCGTCGTTGCTTTTTTCGTTTTTATAAGATAAGAAATGAATATTGAATGATTTTTTTTTATCAATGTTGCTTCAACCTAACTAGACAAATTGTCATTTCAATATTAAACTATAAATTTGATAGATGGTATCTGAGATTTCATATTTGCTTTGTTATGTTATGACATTTGTTGAGCTATGAGTGAATTGTTTTATTTTTGAGCTTTGCTGTTTTTTAACTTTTGGAATTTTAATTGGGCTGTCATATCCAAAATTCACAACCGTTTGCAGTGCACATGACATCTTTGTTGTAGTTGTGAAATATCGTTATAGTTGAGCGTTGTGCTATAACTATTTTAGTATACTGTACATGCAGTATGACAAGGCTCCAAATCTATATTCGTATTGCAAGTAATGACGCAGACAAGAAGGCTTGTGGACAGAACTATAGACGACTATAAGACTCTCAAAGTCATAACTTTACACAGTAGATCAAGATCACACGACTGACTTAGCATTTTTATTAGCAAACCGAAATAGAAAAATAGACTTGGAACATTGTATTGATGATTTTTGGTTCATTCAAGAAGAGAAAAATGCCATTTTTCGTTTGTTTGGTGAAATAATAGTCTAATAATATTGAAATAATACTCGCCCTGGTGGCTCGTGGCAACTTTTTTAGTTTTTATCACAAATGACGTCATACCCGTGTATCTAAATCTGTATAGACAACGGTTAAATGTTGTCTATTTGTTAAATATAAACTTTCTATGTTGCAAAATTCAGCTGGTTCTTCAGTGGACGCATGCCGATGTTATTGAAAAGCGACTTTTTTCAATTCGGCCCATAGCCTAAAAGCAATAAGATAAAAAGCATACACATTCAACAGTATTTTACGCAAACGATAGCCTAAG